ACTTCACAGCAGAGGAAGAGACACCGTGGGCACAAGCCCATGGAATTCACCGGCCTTACCACATACTCTATTCCTGGTGTCAATTCTAGAACATTTCACTGCCTCAAGCCTGTTCCACTTTGGTAACACGGCCCATGCCTCACACTTTCATTAACAGCTTCATTTCTTCCTAGGTCTTCCTGCAACTTTAGGAGGTGAAGGAGACGGGACACTGGGGCCTCCTCCACCCAGTTCACGGCCCAGTCCAGGGCCAGGGAACCTTGTAATCCAAGGCACAAGTCGTTTGGAATCACAGCGTGTCTGGTGAAAGGACCCCCTACCCCCAAATCGTTTGGTCTAACTCTCATTTTCCTTTATAGCTGGGGACTTGAGGCAAGAAAAAGGAAGTGGCTTACTGGGAGGAACACGGCAGAAAGAGTAACAGCCCTGTCCATGCCAGCTTCCCACTCAGCCCCAGAAGGGAAGCTAGCTGGGATCTAGGGGCTTGGCTCCTCTGGAGGGGTCCACTGGGCTGAGCATCCTGTCTGCCCAGCCCTGAGAGCAGGGAGGCCCGAGGTTCAGCACCAGGCCTGCTTCTCCCAGCTGGGATCTCATCCTTCCCTCTATGGTCCTCTAGTCTCCTCTTCCTCACATGCTCTCCCAGCGCTCATTCCCTGCTATCAGTCTCCTGGCCTTTGCTGCCTTGTCCCTGGGCTAATTCTCCCTCCAACCGCAGCTCTGATCTACACTCTTTCTCTACCCTCCCCCACTCCTCTCCCCAACCCAAAACGCAACAGCAGAAGGGCCCTGCCACATTTAGACTATCTCTCCAAGCACTTGTTTCTTCCGGGATAACTAACCGTTCCCCGGTGGGAGGACAGACCACAAAGTTACTTTGGTTACTCACTAAGTTTACAGGACGCCTCAGGCTCCCACTGATGGAAAGCTAGGATGTGGATATTCATGGGGGAAACTGAAGCTTGTTCCAGGTTGGGGACAGGTAGGGGTAAGGGTCTGTGCCTCATTGGTGTGTGTGTGTGTCTGTGTGTCTGTGTGTGTGTATGTTAAGGGGGCAGAAAGGACCCCTTGCCTAGGTGGGCAGGATGGGGTTAGGGAGCAAGCTGTAGGAATAGGGATAGGCAGACAGCGGAGCCAACAGCCTCACTGATTACAGGGTGTGTCCTTGCAACCCTGTCATTGGGGCTGACAGATGGACTGGGACATTCACGGACCTGGAGAATCAAGACTCTCCATGGACACCTAGGGCCCTGCAGAGTGCATTTTGCAACTTACAAAGAGAGATTGCTTAAGGTATGAAAGAACATTAGGATGAAGAATAAAGAATGATACAAGAAACACCCACGTGACTTAAGCAGAACACTCCTGGGTGCCCTTCCCCAATTACATCCCACCTGGTGAACAGAAGTCTGTACTTCTCAGTCCCTTCATTTTCTTGATAATTTTGTTACAGATGAATTTCTCTCTTCAAAATATAGTTGGTCTGTCATGTTTTTTTTTCTTTAATTGAAGTGAAATTCACATAACATGAAATTAACCATTTTCAAGTAAAAAAAATTCAGTAAGAAGTATCGTACATTCACGATGTTATGCAGCCAGCACCTCTGATTCCAAAAGACTTTCATCACCCCAAAAGGAAAACTTGTACCCAGTAAGCAGTTACTTATCATTTCCCCTTCCCTTCAACCACCAGTCTGCTTTCTCTCTCTACTGATTTATCTATTTTGGATCTAGCATTTGACATCTAGGCCTTTTGTGTGTGGGTTAATTCACTTTGCATAATGTTTTCAAAGTTCATCCATCTTGTAGCATGGGTCAGGACTTCATTCCTATTTATAGCTAAATAATATCCCATCATATGGACATATCAAAATTTATCCACTCATCCATCAATGGACATTTCAGTTGCTGCCACCTTTCAGTTATTGTGAATAACACAGCTATGAACATTGGTGTCCAAATATCTGTTTGAGTCCCTGCCTTCATTTATTTTGGATATATATCCAGAAGTGGAATTGCTGGATGATATAGTAATTTTATGTTTAATTTTTTGAGGAACCACCGTACTATTTTCCACAGCTGCTACACCATTTTACATTCCCAACAATGATCCACTTTGAGTTAATTTTTGTATATGGTGTGAGGTAGGAGTTCAACTTCATTCTTCTGTGTGTAGCTGTCCAATTGTCCCAGCACCATTTGTTAAAGAGATTATTCTTTTCCTTATTGAATAGTCTTGGTGCCCTTGTTGAAAATCAATCAGCCATAGATGTCTGGGCATATTTCTGGACTGTCAATTTTATTCCATTGATCTATGAGTCTCTTTACACCAGAACCACACTGTTTTGGTTATTGTAGCTTTGTAGTACATTTTAAAATCAGGAAGTGTTAGTCCTCTTTGTTCTTCTTTTTGTCCACGGGGGTATTCAGGGCTCCTTCCAACTCCATGCACATTTCAGGATGGGTTTTCCATTTCTTCAAAAGAGATCATTAGAATTTCAATACACTGAATCTGTACATTGCAACTGTACATTGCTTTGGGTAGTATGGCCATCTTAACATTTCTAAGTCTATCAATCCAATAACATGGATGTCTTTCCATTATTTAGGATATTCTTCCATTTATTTCTGCAATGTTTTATAGTTTTCAGTGCTCAGATCTTTCAGCTCATTGCCTAAGTTTATTTCCAGGTGGGTTTTTTGGTTTTTTTTTTTTTTTGGCAACTGTTGTAAATCGAATTGTTGTCTTAATGTCTTTTTAAAATCATTCATTGCTGGCATAGAGATACACAACTGATTTTTGTGTACTGTTCCTATCAATACTGATGTTTTTGAGTTTAAATAATATGCATTATTTGGAGACTTGTTTTTTGTGCTAAGCATTCTGTTAGAATTATTCACAGTGATACACACAACTAAACCATTTGTTTCTCTCTATTACATGATATTTTACATATGAACATACCACAGATTTCTCTCTTCTCCTACTGACAAGTTGTGATCTTAACTCGTATTTCCCTAATTAATAATTAGGTTGAGGATCTTTTCATATTTATTGGCGATTGTTGTTTTCTTATTTGTCAAACGCTTACTTGCATCTTGGGCCCTTATCTACGCATTTGTATATTCTGCATAGGAATAATTTGGTTGCAAATACCTTCTCCCAGTTTGTTGCTTTCCCTACCACTTTACTATAAGGTTTTTTTCATTTTATTGCAGATGCATTTCTTCAATCTTTTCCTTTATAATCTGTTTTTATGTAGTAAGAAATCTCTCCTGACCTTGAAGTAAACAGGATAGTCTTCTACGTTTCTTTCTAAAAATGCTTAAATATCGCTTTTCATTTTTAGATCTTTAATTCACATGGAATTGATTTTTCCGGTACGATGTGCAGTAGCGGTCCAATTTCATTGCTTTTTGTTATGGTTAACTCATTTCCTTGGCACGATTTGCCAAACAGTCTATAATACGGCCCCTCTCTCCAACTGCAGTGGTCCCTCAGACAAAGCCACAGTTCTTTTTTTTTTTTTTTTTTTTTTTAAACATTTATTTATTTATTTATTTGAGAGAGAGAGAGAGAGAGAGACAGTGAGAGAGAGCATGAGCGAGGAGAAGGTCAGAGGGAGAAGCAGACTCCCCATGGAGCTGGGAGCCTGATGCGGGGCTCGATCCCGGGACTCCAGGATGATGACCTGAGCCGAAGGCAGTCGCTTAACCAACTGAGCCACCCAGGCACCCCCAAAGCCACAGTTCTATGTGTAGGCCGGTTTCTGGCTTCTCTGTTTCATGCCCCATTTGTCTGTCTTTGGTCTTACATCAGATTCTCTTGTTCTCTCCATCTTATTTTTCAGGAGTCCCTTGACAATTCAACATTAGTGGTTATAAGGGTGTTCACTATAAAATTCTTTTCATTTTTCAGTATGTTTGAAATTTTCCATAAAAAAATATTGGGGGAGGGACACCTGGGTGGCTCAGTTAGGTGTCTGCCTTCAGCTCAGGTCATAATGGGGTGGGGGGTCCTGGGATTGAGCTTTGAATCGGGCTCCCTCTTCAGTGGGGAGCTTGTTTTTCCCTCTCCCTGCTGCTCCCCCTGCTTGTGCTCTCTCTCTCTGACAAATAAATAAATAAAATCATAAAAAAATTATTGGGGGAAAGAGTGCTGTGGCTTATCTGGCCTTTACCCTTTTATCAGGATACACTTTTTAAAAGGCTCAGGTTTCAGACGAAGCAATTCCCAGCAGCCACAGCCCTTTGAGAAAAAGATGAGTTTTAGGACAATGTGTGGACTTTTCACATTCCTGTAGGCATCAGAGATTATTTGTTGGAGATGAGGCAGTGCTGCTTTTAATATCGTGCCCATTCACTGCCCAGAAGAGTGATCTGCCTGAAGATCTAGCCTCTGGGCCCCCCTGAGGAGCTGTGTCTGGCCTGCTTTGTTCAGGCAAATGTCCCCAGCCCCTTTTCTGCCCCTCAGGGACCCTTGTCTCAATCTCCCCCATCTCCTTCTCACGCCAATCTCTGGTTCTCCGTTTCCTGGAGTTTGGTCTGGTGGAGAGATGGAAGCCCAGGGAAGATGAGGATGTGACTTGACCAAGGCCACACCGAGTTACCGTAGTAAGGCCGGCGCACAGCAAGGGCCAGCCAGCCTTCAGGCCACAACACGTCCCTTGTTACTGCCCTTCTGGGGGCCCTGATCGTGCCTCTGCCTCCCCATGTTGCTAACTATCTCCCTCCGTCTCCCGTGCTGTGCTCGGGTCTCCGCCAGTCTGACAGGCCACAAGCTGACTACCTCTTCCCGGGCTCCGCCCCACTCCAGCCACCCCGGCAGCCGGCGCCGGAGTTCTCCGCGGCCACCAGGGGGCGCGCGCGGCCTGGTCTGGGCACCAGTGAGGCCGAGGACGCCCCGCCTTCAAGGCGCCCCGCCCCGTCCGGCCCCGGCCCCGCCCCTCCCTGCGCCCCGCCCCGTCCGGCCGCGGCCTCGCTCCCTAGGCTCCCCCCCCAGCGCCGGGACCCCTGGCACCCTTGTCTCGTCTGCTCGCCGGGTCCAGCCATGGGCCCCGCTGCTCGCCCCCCGCTGAGGTCACCCCCGCCGCCTCCTCCGCCGCCGCCGTCGCCACTGCTGCTGCTGCTGCCCCTGCTGCCGCTCTGGCTGGGCCTGGCGGGACCTGGGGCCGCGGCGGACTGCAGCGAGCCTGAGGCCGGGGCGGGGCGGGGCGGGGCCCGCGCCGTACGAGTGGACGTGAGGCTGCCGCGGCAGGACGCTCTGGTCTTGGAGGGCGTCAGGATCGGCCCCGAGGTCGACCCCGCACCCGCGATGGGCGGCCGCCTGCTGCTGGTGAGCGCAGCCGAGCCATCTGGTCCCGGCCCGCCCCACCCCGCCGTAGATCCCGCACCCAGATCCGGCATTTATCCTGGACCAAGCCCTAGCCTCCCAGCGCCCTCTCCCCAGGATGCCCCGGCCTCAAACCCCGGCTTCCAAAACCTGAGATCCAGATGCCCTTCCCTTCAAACTCGCTCCCAAACCCTGACCTTACATCCCCTGTGTGTCCAACCCCCTTCCTCCCCTTCCTCCTCCTGCCTGTGGTCCCTTACCCCACAGATGGACATCGTGGATGCTGAGCAGGAGGTACCCGTAGAAGGCTGGATTGCAGTGGCATACGTGGGCAAGGAGCAGGAGGCCCAGTTGCACCAGGAGAGTCAGGGCAGCGGTCCCCAGGCCTATCCCAAGGCCCTGGTCCAGCAGGTGCAGGGGGTGTATGTGGGGAAGGGGACTGGAGGAATGGGTTTCAAGGCCAGAGCCAGACTACCAGGTGGGCCCCTAAGGAGCTTGCAGAGAAACCTGAGGTGAGGACCCCAGTTTGGAAAATTGAGTCAGTATGGAGTGAAAGCAGGGAGGTGGGAGGTGGCCAGAGTCAGGAAGCTCCACCAGGCTCTGAGAGTATCAGATGGGGAGTTCCTGCTGAGAGTTGGTGGGCAGGCCTGTCCTACTAGGACCAGGGAAGGCACTTAATTGTTTGGGTCCTCAGAACATCTGGGGGAAGGAGTGTACAGCCGGTCTGTCCGGAGGAAAACATTGCAGAGCCAGGAGCTAAGAACTGTGGTCGTGGGTAGTGAGACAGGTGTGTGGGCAGGGGGTCAGCTAGCTTCTATCTCTGTCCCTCACAGATGCGGAGGGCACTCTTCCTGGGAGCCTCTGCCCTGCTCCTCCTCATCTTGAACCACAACGTGGTCCGAGAGGTAAACTGGTTCAGGCGCGGGGGTATGCAGGCCAGGGAGGAGGGGACCAACGCCGGCTGACCTTGTCTATCCATCTCCAGCTAGATATATCGCAGCTTCTGCTCAGGCCAGTGATTGTCCTCCATTACTCTTCCAATGTCACCAAGCTGTTGGAGGCACTGCTGCAGTGAGTTGGGGTTTGGGATCCAAAGGATCGGGCTTGGGAACCTGGGTGCTGAGGGGGTCCCTGAATCTGCCATGGTCTCAGGACCAGGGCTTTTCCTGTTAACCTTCAGACTGTAGTCTCCTGGTCTGAAAAATGGGTGAGCGGACTGGAGCAAAGAGGCAGCTCTAGGGGCCGAGGGGAATTGGCTTCAGGAAGGAGGAAGCTGGATTCCTGACTGACAGGTTCTTTCCGAGACTTGCAGGCCTCCCTGGTCTGGCTGATGTGAGAAATGGAAAAACTAATAACCAGAAAAGTCTTGGGGGCCAAAGCAGAAAGGCTGTGGGATGATACGTGGGAGGATCTTTTTCCTACAAGGCTGGGGTGGGTGGGTCATCTCCTGCCAAAAGCCCTTCTTTCTGGCCCCTCTGTGGCTTTCCCTCCCAGGAGGACTCAGGCCACAGCCGAGATCACTAGCGGAGAGTCTCTGTCAGCCAACATCGAGTGGAAGCTGACCCTGTGGACCACCTGTGGCCTCTCCAAGGATGGCTACGGAGGATGGCAGGACTTGGTGTGCCTGGGAGGCAGTCGGGCCCAGGAGCAGGTGGGTACCTGGGGAGAGGAGGCTCGGGTATGACTGCACACATGCCTTGTCTCAGATCCTGTGGCCTCTCCTCACCTTGCTGGCCAGGACCACTTCTTCCACCTCCCAGGGCTGTAATGAGTGCTCATTGACACGGGTGCTCAGTGCAGTGCCTGATGGGGTCATGCATAATCAGTGTTAGTTACTATGGCTATGTTACTTTCCCGCTCAGAAGCCCTCCTTGGCTCCCCATTGCCTGCAGAATAAAGTTCAGACTGCTTAGCCTGGCTTTCACAGCTCTCCTGTTCACTCACTCATCTTTTTTTTTTTTTTCCTAGTCTCTTCCTTATACTCTCACCCTATGCCATTTACTGGCCTTCACACATGCCCTGGCCTCCTGCCACTAGGCCTTGTCTGTGCTTGGCTGCAGGCAGGGACACTCTTTTTCTGTCTCCATACATCCCTCTCTGCTTGCCTTCTTTGGAAAGCTTCCCTCGCAGCCTCAGCTCACAATTCCTCTCTCCGTCTTTGAAATCGTCCTTTGTCAGGCCCTTCATAGCGTTCTCAGGACAGTCTGAAGTCTCTAAGTGTTGGGAATGTGACTTTGTCTCCTGAAGTTTGGGGCTGTGTCTTACTAGTCTCTGGATTTCTCAATGCTGGGCATCGAGAAGGTTCGAAGGTATTTTGTCCACAAGCATTTGTGGACAGATGCTCTGTCAGGGCAGGCATGTCCCGGTCTACTGGTGGGCAGCCTCCGGGGGGGTGTCAGTGGGATTGGGCTGTGCGAGGCAGACTTGCAGCCTTAGCTGAGGGATCTCAGGTTGAGCATTTAACCTCTGTAGCCTCATGTTGCTCCTTTGTGAACAAGGAGAGCACATCGCCACAGGATCGTCAGGGTGTTGTGTGTGCATGAAGCTCACAGTGGGCACAGAGCAGGTGGGCAGCTCCTACTCTCTGAATGTGTTTGTTGTTATAAATGATGGAATAAATTATCAGTCACCAGATAATCTTTGAGGTCCTAGGACACATAGGGCTCAAAGAGAAGGGCTGTGGAGGGCCCAGAAAACCTATGGGACCCAGGCACTGTCCTGAAGGGGCTCAAAGACAAGCAGGGAAGGAACTCTCCCATGAAAAGGCCTCAGCAATTCAGCCCGGACGTCATGTGCTCATTCCTATTTGAGTAGCCCGAACTGAACCACAGTTGTGTGAAGGGAGTGGGCAGTGGGACTAGGGGAACAGAAGGGCTTTCTGGGAGAAGAGGGAGCCGCACAGGGTCTTCCCCTGGAGGGCAGCCCACCCAGACGTCTGGGTGGGGCAGGCCTTTGGTGAGGGACTGTCGGATGAGAGAGGATGGGCCTGCAGAAAGCCTGGAGCCCGGGGAAGAGCGGGCTGGGCAAGGGGCCTGGGAGTGGGAATGCCTGCAGTCTGCAGGCCAGTCTGGCTGGTACAGGGGCAGAGCTGAGCCTGTCAAGTGCTGGGTAGCTGTGATAGCCAAGGTGGCCTAAGGGTGGCTGGGGCCAGCTCTCAGCCCCAAACCTAGGGCCACGTCACCATGCTGGTGAGTCTGAACCCAGAGCTACAGCACCCGTGCACCGGAAAGGTCAGAGGGACCCCCTCCCTACCTGCTCACCTAGGGGTCCCGCACATGTGCTGAGCCTGAGAGGACTGGGTCTCTGGCCTGCAGCAGGGCCCCAAGGTGGCCAGGCCCTGTGCCCACCAAGTGCCCCCAGGCTGCTCCAGATCTCAAAGCTCCAGGTTGTGTCCTGGTGAGCTCACACTACGGTGGCCACTGAGTCCTGCCCCATGTCAGCCTGACTCCGCACAGCCCAGGCCACAAAGGCAGGGCAGTTCTGGCCCTGGGCTCCTGGGGCCCCAAATGGCGAGGTAAAAGGCCATGGCGGTCACTCTGCCGGGGTCAGCACTGAGCAGGGGAGGGGGGACGGGCCCTCCAGGACACAACAGAAGCATCTGAGCTCGGCCTGGGGGCTTGGGGAAGAGCTTCTTGCAGCAGGAGGTACTACCTTCTCCCACTCCTCAGGAAAGACGGGGGCAGAGAGACCAGAGGAGAGAGGGTGAGGAACAGGCAGCTGGGGCTCACGGTCCTCTCTTGATTTGTGACACCAGCAACACCCAGCCTCGTCCGGAGTCCTGTTCTCTTAAGAGCCAGTTACTTCTTGGCCCCTCTCCCTTGTAACCCGATGGTAGTTGAGCTTCGTTGTTGGCCGGGGGAGAACACGATGGCAGAAAGCTACCAGGAATGCAGAAAGCTTTTAAATGAATGCATTTATTAGTCATGACATGTGCAGAGACCCTGAGAGCCGGTGTGCCTGTTTGGGTGAGCCGGCTGGGTTTTGCTTACTGTGCCACATCATTTCCTGTAGTCAAAGCCCAGCTGCCACACTGCTGTGGGGTGGGAGTGGGGGTAGTTAAGTCAAGGTCAGAGCATTCCCCCCATCCCCAGCCCAGGAACTCTGAGGTCCTGAGGGGCCCTCTCAAGGGCCAAGGGCAGGGCTGATATGGTTCCTTCCCCGCAGCGGGAGCCTGAGGACCACCGAGGGCAGCGACAAGGAAACACACAGTAAAGAGTGCGGGAAGGGCTGGGGGTCGGGGAGAGCTCTGGAGCAGGGGGCATCCAAAGGCATTAGCCCAGGGAAGGGGTGAGGAAGAACTGTGAACACAAAGGACACGGAGCATGGGACCCTGAAAGGACAGGGGGTGGGCGATCTAGGGCCTTGCCAGATGGCTGCTCGAGGAGTTCAGGGTCTCTGCTGAGGGCTGGGATATTATAGGGAAGGGGGCAAGCAGGGGTCCTGGGTGATCAGGTTTGCAGGTGAGATCTTTGTCGCTGTAGGAAGTGGGCTGGTGAGGCTGGAGCAGGGCCCCCAAAGAGCAGAGGAGTGGGATGGAGGGGAGGGGTGCATGGGTCCCTAAAGAGCAAAGCCACAGGGGACCACGTGAATGCTCGGCTCAGACGGAAGTGGGTGGGTGATGGCACCCAAGAAAGTAGAACAGGAGAAGTGTGGGGTAGGGATGAGGGTGGGAAAGTGATAGGGTCCTAGGCTGGGGAGTCTGTGAGGCTGCCAGAGAGAAGCTTCCAAGAATGCAAAAGCTTTTTTCCCAGGAGACGGTCTGGGGGCAGAGGTGGGTCCCCTCAGCAGCTGGACAAGGAGCTGTATAGACAGCAGGGGCTGACCCTAGGGGCACAGATGGGAGGCACGCAGGCTTCAGAAGAGGAAGTCAGGAACCTGCAGGGACGTGCTGCCAATGGACCTTACCTGCCTGGTCTTCGGAGTGGACTCACTGGGGGAAGAGCATAGAGTGGCCCCAGCCTTCCTGACACTCTGCTCCCCTGCCCAGAAGCCCCTGCAGCAGCTGTGGAACGCCATCCTGCTGGTGGCCATGCTCCTGTGCACAGGCCTCGTGGTCCAGGCCCAGCGGCAGGCGGCCAGGCAGAGCCAGCAGGAACCTGGAGGCCAGGTGAGAGCCGGCCCCTGGAAGCCCCGGTGCCCCCAGCCCGGGGCCCGCCTGACTGTGCCTGCCCTCCCCCACCAGGTGGACCTGCTTAAGCTCCGCGTGCTTCGGAGACTGGCATCCCTGAAGACCCGGCGCTGCCGTCTGGGCCGTGCAGCCCAGGGCCCCCCAGAACCAGGTGCTGAGACCTGCGCCGTGTGTTTGGACTACTTCTGCAATAAGCAGGTAGTGCCATGGGCAGAGGCTGACCTGCGATGTCCCTCACTGCTCCGAGACCCCCCCCAGAACTGTTCCTACCAGGCCCTTATCCCACCAGCTCCTACTCTAACTAGGAAAGCACCCACTAGGGGGTGGGGAGGGTGGTGACAGGCTGCAGGAGTTTCAGTTCCCCCATGCAGGTGGGGCCAGGCATCCCCATCTGGAGGCCTGACTGTGGTCTGAAGTCTCCCCCCACACCTGGCAGTGGCTCCGGGTGCTGCCCTGCAAGCATGAGTTTCACCGAGACTGCGTGGACCCCTGGCTGATGCTCCAGCAGACTTGCCCGCTGTGCAAATTCAACGTCCTGGGTAAGCACCAGGGGTGGGGGCCCTTGGCCAGCTCTCCCTGCTCGCTCCCCACCTGACATCTCCCTCCTGGTGTTTTCTTGCTCCCATGCAGGGAACCGCTACTCAGACGATTAGCTGCCCAAGCTGGGTCTCTGCATGTGGGCAAAGTACCCTCCCACCTGCACCCTGGCCCTAGGCCTGGGCTCCTGGAACAGAACAGCGGGATGGACAGGAAGCCGGTGGGAGGAAGGACAGGGGCCTCCCCTGCTGAGGGGCCAGGCACCCCATCGTATTTATTCTGGGAAGGAGGGACCACACTCCCCAGTCCGAGGATGCAGGATCTGGACCTGCCAACTCAAGAAAGAGAAGCCACCTTGGGGCCCTTCTTCTACCATCCTGGAATGTCTGTGTCTGCCCTCCTCACAGGCAGCTCCTGGGACCCTGGGCAGGGGCCTGGAGGAAGAAAGGGGTGGAGCAGTGCAGCTTTGGTGCCTCTCTGACCTGCCTGTCGGGGCATCCCTGGGGACTGAGGTTGTGGTGGCTGTTCGGGTTTTGTGCTTATTTATTGGGCGCTGGGTTGTGGGAGGATCCCGGCCTGTCTTTCAGGACACATCTTGGTCAAGGCTATGATGTTCAACCCAGAGGCCCCTCCCCTGATAGCGCCCTCAGCCCTTGGACACGAGGGGTAGCAAGTACTGCCTGTCCAGCTGGACTCCCTCCCCAGGCCTGGCTGGGACCAGAGGCCTCAGAAGCCATCCAGTCCTGTGCTGCTTGGCCAGGCTACGGGTTGCTGACCAGAGTACTTGAAGCTGCAGGATAAACGTGGTGCATCTTTTAGGGGCAGCTGGGTTTTTTAAGATTTGGGGGTAGGGGAGGTTTAATACTGAAGTAAACATGGATATATTTTAACATAAAGAGATCAGATTTGTGTGGATGTCTTAAGACAGAAAAGTCGCCTTGGGCTCTACTGCCTGTGAGGGGGGATTCTAAGACAGGCTTCAAGATACCCCGCCCCCAGCCCTCATGGACACACCTTGTTGTAAACCTGCAATGGGGAGTGTAATAGATTTTACCCCCATGATGAGGTTATATGGCACAGTTGATCTTAAGATAGGGAAAGTATCCAAGAGGGCCTGACCTAACCACGAGAGCCCATTAGAAGCAGAGAGTTTTCACTGGCCCGGTGGAAGAAGAGGAAGTCAGAAAGTTGAAGCAAGAAGGGCATTCAGTGTGTGAGAAATTCTTTGTTGCTGACTTGAAGATGGAGGGGGCCACGTGGCAAGGAAGGCAGACAGCTTCCAAGCACTAAGAGTGGCCCCTGCTGACAGCAGCCATCGGGGAGGTGGAGCTCAGTCCTATGGCTGCAAGGATCAGAATTCTGCCAGTGATCAGAATGAACCTGGGAGCGGGTCCTTTCCAAGAGCTGTCAGAAAGGAATGTAACCTGGCAGATACTTTGACATGAGTCTTCTAAGATTATGAATGGAAAACCCAGATACAGGGCCCGAACTCCTGACCTCCAGAACTGTGAGCAGAGGGGAGATGAGCTTTGATTGGTCCTACCCTGGACTTGGACCCACGTGTCTTGCCTCAGAGACCCCACCCCAAGGGCTGGCTTTCGCCCGTGAGGGCCAGGGCATCCCAGCCTCCCTCCACAATGCCAGGCTCCACAGAAGCTGGAGTTGGGCAGATAGCGGCCATGCCCATTTAGCTACACACATGGCCCCTCTTGACCTTTCTCGTAAACTGAGGCACCCTACCTGCTGGCCTCCCCGCCCGGGGAAGATGTCACAGGGAGCTGGGAGTGCCCACCCTGAGAAGTCCTCAGCAAGGCCTTAGAGCCTGTCCTTCACTGCTGAGGCGACCCAGGGCAGTCTGGAGGCTTTGTGGAGAGAACTGGACCATGGGCCTGGCATGGCTGGGTGGCATGAGTGCCAGGGCCCAAGAGACAGGCCTGGGAAATCCAGGGCTTGCTGGGGGTCCTGCTGTCTGGTTAGGTGAGGCCTTGCCCTGCCTTCTAGGGATCCAATCTCTCAGATTTAGAGAAATCCTTTTGACAAACTCACATTCCCTGAAGGTGAATAGTTTCTTAGTAAAAAGGACAACTGACTTTCTTGGGTCCTTAATGTCCCCATCCTGGGTTCAGAGCTGGGGTAGGAGGCCCTAGAGCCAGGAACCCCTTCTCTGACTCCTTCCTCACCAGGCCTACCTTGGCAGCTGCTCTCCTTCTCTGACCTACCCCTACCCTGACCCTACTACTCTCCATGGGTAGGGGTCGCTGAGTCTGTCACCCTTTTGTGCTTGCTCTGGGAATCAAAAGACTACCTTTCACCTGGCCCAGGTGCTAAAGCTTCTTGCTGTCCTTTGTGTGCCCTCTTTTCCCACTGTCCTGTCAGGACAGTGTGCTAGGCCTCTGCCGGCAGACGACCTACATGGCTGAGGACTTAGTGGTCCCTGCCCAGAATGGGGGAGGAAGGACTCTGCCTCTGGCTCAGCCAGTGCTGTGAGGCCAAGGGTGCTGTGGGCAGATGGCCAGGGCTTTATTATATGGAACGGGTTGCCAGCCACCTGCCCTCCAGCCCCACCACGCGGCAGGCTACGTGGGCCGCTCCTGGGGCTGGTATGCAGGGCTGGCCTGGCTCTGGCCTGGTGACAGTCTCCTTCTCAGCCTGGCCAAGGCCCGGATGGGGTTCTGAGCACAGTTGGTTGAGTGGGTCATGTCCTCCAGGGAGGACCTGCCCGGCCGACTGCAGGACTGCTGAGGTGGGGATGCCCGGAGCTGGCATGGGAGGGTCCTGCCCACGCTGGCTGTCCTGCTGCTAGGCAGGTGCCGCCTGCCCAGGGGCCTGAGGGAGGACCAGATGACAAGATCTCCCGTGAGTGAGGAGGACCAACCCACCCCCGTCTTCCCCACCTCCCTCAAAGCCTTACTCACCCTGGGGAAGCATTCTGGGCCTGGGCTGGGGGCACTGTTCCCTGGATTCCTTTGCTGGGAGGGGCCCAGAGCTGGTCCTGTGGGATCAGCTGCAAAGAAAGCAAATTCAGAAAGGCCCAGGAAACCTCTCTGCACCCTTCAGCAAGGGTGTTTTGCCATGGAGGAGAAGAGAGGGCTGAAACCCATACCCGCAACCCCTTCCTCTCAGGTGCAGGGTTTGGGGAGCCTTCCAGGGCCACCCCAGCGCAGTTAAGTGTGGGAAGTTTGGCTTTCTGACAAGGATCCTGGTTGTCCTTAAAGTGAACAAGAGCTGGAAGGCGGAAATGGAAAGGCACCATACCATTCTCACGCCTGCTTGAAATGTGGAAACCACATGTGATGAGGCAGGCGTTCGGTAGGTTCCCAGGGTGGTGTCTGAAGACCTGCTGGGTCAGGGGCCTCCCCCAAGTCCCCAAGAGCCGGCCCTCTCAGGTTGGGGAGCCAGGCTGCTCACCTTTAGGCTTCCCTGCTGGGCTACCTCCCGGATTTTGGACAGCATAGACTGGAGCCGCCCATTCTCCTCCTGCAGGACCTGGATGCGGATGTCGTTGGCCTGTACCTGCCTCTCCATGTCATCAGTAACATTGCCGGAGCCTGCAGGGATATACCCTCCATTATCTCCCCCTGCCAGGGCTGACCCTGGGGCCCAGTGGTACAGGACCTCCAAGGGCACACATGCTAGCTGGGGTGTACCTTAGGTTGGTGGCCTGGCGAGCACAGGGGAGCCGAGCAGGGCCCGTGCTCTACCTCCCCCCGCGCCACCTCATCATCCTTCTCCTGAGGTCCTGTCCCAGTTTCCCACCCCCTCCCTGCTGGGAGGTGACCACAGCAAGCTGACTGGGACCTCAGTCTCACTGAAGACGCTGTAACTGGGTAAGAGAGTGAATCCCTTCCAAAGCCGCTTGAGGTGTCTCAGGCCACGCAGCCAGCTCTTGTGTATGAGTCACGGGAACTCAGCAAGCACGTTCTTTCCCGCCACTGGGGAGATGGACGCTTGCTTTCTGACTCTGAACCTGAGCGAGTTGCTGCCCGCTGTGGTTCTCGGTCTTGTGGCTTGTGAAAGGGCTGTTACCATCTTATGGGGCGGATCAAAAGACAACGGAAGGGCCTGGCCTGCTGCACTCAGGACCGATGACTTAATGTGACCAAGCTAAATTACGTCACTCTACCCGACAGCCCCACAAATGGATTCACCCCCCCCACCAGGGGTGAGGGCTGAGGGCCTTAAAGGAGAACCTAGGTTGCCCGGCATCCAGTTCTCTGCTGAGACGGGTACCTAGTACTCCTGGGGCATGGTGGGCATGACACTGGACACTGGACAGCTGGGGCGGTGCCCATGGAGCTGGCCCCATGCTGTGGTTTGGGGAGACACCAGGACAGGGGACACCAGGATGTTGAGCAAGGACTGGCATGTGACATGGTGAAAAGCACAGGCTACAGAGGTGGTTAGACCTGCACGTGGACTCAGCATGCAGACAGTGGGCAGTCTCCTTGCCTCTGGGCTTCTGTGTCCCCATCTACAGAGTGGCTAACACACAAGGCGCTTTCCGTGTCCTAGGGACTCAGTAGGGACCGCACTGCAGGCCAGGGAGCTGCAGACTCCAGTGTCTTGCCCAGGTGAGCCCTCAGCTGCCTGTCTAGGCCCCAGTATGCCCTGGTCAGCATCTCTGGGCCCCTACTTGGGATCTGGGCCTCGGTGGGTCTGTGCAGGTCTGGGAAGGCCACCAGCAGCCGCTCCCGCTCCCTCAGCTCTGTGAGCTCGCGTTCCAGCTCTGATATGGTCAGCCGCAGATCTGTCGTGGCCTGCTCCAGGCCTTGCTTCTCCTGTTGCAGGCTCTGCAGCAGCTCCTGGGGCAGGGGGAGGCTCAAGACTTATGCAATGAATGGCTCCCGGCTCCCCTGGGGACAACCCCTCTCCCCACCGATCCAGACACGGGACAGGCCTGCAGGCACTCCACTGGCTGCAGACCCCTCTTGGAGAAAGGGGAGAGCCGTCTGGCACCCTTACCCTGCCGGCTCCCACCTGCTGGGCCAGGAGCTGGCTCTGCCCCTGCTCCCTCTCGCTCTGTATGCTCTGCAGCTGCTCCTCCACCTGGGCCCGCTGGGCCTCGGCCTCATCCAGGCTGCCCCGCAGCTCCTCACGCTCCTGGTCCAGGCTGTCCAGCTGCTGTAGCAGGGCTCGCTGTTTGGACTGTAGGGACTGAGGCAGGGTGGGCAGGCAGGGAGGCCATGAGGCCCACAGGGCAAGGCTCAGCATGGGACAGAAGAGGCCTTGGTATCTCTGACGCGCCCCCTTGTGCCTGTCTGTGTACAGGGGAGGCTGTGCATGCGTGTGCAGCAGAAGGGGCAGAGGGCCCAGTGGTGCATACCCCTCTGGGCCCCCCAACTGGTCAGGCCCAGGCCCCCCACCTTGCAGACCCCTGCCACTTTGGAAAGCAATGGATTGACTATCAATCTCGTCCCCTCTTCTTTCCAGTCACAGTCTCCAATGGGGGAGGAATTCTGGGCAATACCTTCTCTTTTTCTCCTTAGATTTCTTGTGCCCCGTCAGCCCACATCACTTGGGATCCACTTTTCCTGACACCCACTAAGTGCAAACCAGGAAAAGCCAGTGCTGGTCTGCTCCGAGTCCGGGCTCTAGCTCCAGCTGGCTGCGAAGCTTTGCGTAATTGCTATAATCTCCCTGAGCCCCAATCTCCTCCTCCATAAAATAGGGACAAGGAGACTGTCCACCTCCTACTGTGGTGATGAGGAATAAGAACAAGGGGGCTACAGAGGCCAAGGCCCAGCCCCTTGTCCACAGCACACATCTGATACCTGGTGACCGTGACCGTTCACAGAGAACTGAGGAAAACACCCGCTTGGGACTGAAAGGCCTTCCCGGCCTGGGCCATAACTGCTTCAGGTGCCAGGTCACCTGCTCCCTCAGCCCTACCCTTGAGGATTCCTGCAGGGTCCTAGTGCCCAGGGCACAGCTGTAACCCGGGCCTTGGCTCGCTCTTTGTCATCCCATCCTTTCTCTGACTGATGGACTCCTCACCAGCCCCTGGCATCCAGTTCAAAGGCCATTCCTTCCTAGAAGCCATCCTGGATTCCCACAGATCTGACTGTCCCTCTGTGGACACCTGTAGCACTTTCCCTGCACCTCCTAGCCATCTGGCAACAGAGCTCTGGTGACCCAGCTGCTCGTCCTCGCTGGGTGGGGAGCTCCTCCAGAGCAAGGCCACCTTTGGCTGCATCTGTCCCTGGATCGCTGTTTCCCCAGTGCCCAGGGCCCAGGGGAAGGCTCAGGCTTTTGATAAAGATCAAACAAAAGCCTGGGTGTGTGTGTTGCTGGGCAGGTAGCCCCCCACCAGTGGGGCTCTCTTTCCCTGCAGCCTATGTCACAGACACCCCTAGATCCTCACCTCCTGGTGGCGGACCATACTGTCAACACGGGCCTTCTCCTTGTCCAGCTCAGTGCTGGCCCAGCGGATCTGCTGGCTGGCCCCGTCCAGCCGCCCGGCAAGCAGCTGCACCTGCTCCTCCAGCTGCTGCACCTGCCTCTCGGCCTCTGCCCTGCGCTCGGCCTCCTCCTGAAACTGCTGCGCCTTCGTCTCTGCAGGATTGAGTGGGCAGGGGGAGGGGTAGAGCCGGAGAAGCCTGGGTTCGAGTCTCCGCACCGCCCTGACCCATGATGGGACCTGAGGTGGGGCGGGAGGGGTCACAGCCTGTCTCTGGGCCTCAGTGTCCCTGGCCACAAAATGCTAGTCTGAACCCTTCTGTGAAAACAGAAGGTGCTCTCTGGGTGGGAGGTGGTGGCAGCCCAACTCAGTGTGGCTCGGCGGGCCCATCCCTGTGGCTCCTAGAAGCCTGGGGGACAGAGACAGTACTGCTCATCTAGCCACACCACTGAGCACAGGACATGGGGTACAGGGCCACACAAGGGGGCTCCTCACCCATGGCCTGCATGGCCTCCTGTTGCTGCTTCAGCTCCCCCTCTAGGGTGGCCACCTTCGTCTTGAGGTCACTTGTTTCTACAGCGGTTGAGAGAGAAAGAGAGAGAGAGAGAGAGAGACTCCGATGGGCCTGGCCAGGGCCTTCAGGCCCAGTGTACCCTGCAGCGTCGTGACAGGCAGTGCTGTATGGAGGGGCTGCCTGGGCCAACAGGAGCTCTGCGGAGAGGCCGGGAGGCCTGGGCCCCCCTTCCTCCTGCTTCCTATGGGCTGGCTGCCAGGTCTCTACACTGCTCTGGGCCTCTGTGTCCTCCACAGAGGTGACAGACTCAGAAAGGACAGTGATCTGCCCAAATCCCTCTGGCCTCCCAACCTCAGTGGCCTGCTCCTAGTGAGTGCCATAGCTGTCTCTCTGCCTGGCGGCTTTCATGGAAGCCAGAGAGCAGCTCCCCGGGGAGTCCCCTTTGGAGACACATGAGAGTGAGGAGATGAACCCCCTGGCCCCCTTGCCCTCTGAGGGGACAACTCTGAGGCACGCATTCCACACCGCCAGCTCCAGTGCTCCTCGGCGGGATGAAACTCCGGCCGCCTGCAGGGTAACCAGATTGGGGAGCTGCCTGCCCTTGGGGCCTCTGACCCCACTCCCCAGCCTGGGTTTCTTTTCACCCCAGCGGACGTGTCCCTGCAGCCCTCTTATGGGGTCTGCCTCCCAGTGAGCCTGTGCTAAGGCTGTGGCAGAGCCCTAGGGCTCAGGGTCCCGCTTCCCAGCACAGACCTGTGAGCAGCTGCCGCCTGTGGCGCTCCCACTCCGCCAGTTGTTGTGTGGCCTCGTCTGCCTGTCGCTGCCGCTCCCCCTGCTCCTGCTGCAGCGCCTGCTCCAGCTGGCCCACCTGCTTTTGCAGTCCGTCCTTCTGTCCCTCAGCCTCCTCCAGCTGGGCTCTGAGGGGCCCGACCAGCTGAGTGAGGGCCCCCACGTGCTTAGTGAGGCGTGTCAGGTCTTTGCTCTGCTCGGCTGCCCAGCGGCCCATGGTGGCGGCTGGCAGTGGCCTGAGGCCCATGCTGTCCCGCACCAGCTGCTGGAACTGGCCTAAGGACGAGGGCAGGTTCTGGCTCTGACACAGGCTGATGACTGCCTTGCCCACCTCCCGCAGGCTGCTTTGGACGCTGGTGCACGCGTCACAGGGCACAAGGGCTGTCTCCACCGTCTGGGAGTGAACACTCCTGCTGTTCTTGGCAGTGCTGGCTGGACACTGTGGGGAGACTCTGATGGAGAGGCTCTCCGGCTCTTGGCAGGTCTGGGGCAAGCGTGGCGTTGGGGAGGGGGGCTTGAGGAACTTGGCAGTCACAAGCTCAGGGCTCCTGGCTGGCTCCCCCTTGGCGGTGGGCTTGGAGGTGAGGTTCTCCCCTTGGTTTACTCTTTTCTGTGGTCAGGAAAAGAAAGGGAAAGCAGATGGGGGAGACAGGCCCAGGAGGGGATCAGTTTCCTGGTGAGTATTCTGTACAGCCTCTCCTGATGCTCAGACCTTTAGATGTTAGATATCTGACACCAACGTGAGTGAGAGAGAGAACCTTCTTTCTTCACTGCCTCAACTTACCAAGCCTGGGCCAACTCTGTTGTTCCCCCTACCCCCCAGGCTCTGTGCAGTTCTGTGCATGGGACAAGGAGTCTAACAGTGAAGCCACAGCTGCTGGTTCTAGGGATCTTGCCCAGTGGACTTGCTTGTTCTCGTGTCACCATAGCTGCTCTCAGTTTTCCGTTACTCCCCGTTATGGTGATGGTGATTCTTCTCACAGGGACTTGTGAAAATTACAGGAGAAGCCATAACGAATGGGGCGAACATTAACAGTATCACCCAACAATGCCCCGAGATGGAGAGACTGTTATTATTCCCACTGTACAGATGAACAAACTGAGGCTCAGGGTAGGCTCAGCATAAACAACAGACCCCGGGAGCCCAGCATGACCCCCCGAGGCCTGCCTCTGGAGGGGACACCATCTCCTTTGAGCGGTGTGAGCCCAGACAGTGACACTGTCTCCTTCAGGCATGTGGGTGGTTTGCCCACATGGTGTGCCACGAGGCTGGGACTGGGGCAGGGTAGACAGGTGTGAGGGTGACTAACCCACCTGGGGGGCTGCCTGCTGGTAGATCATGCCCAGCCTCAGCAGGCTGTTCCAGAAGCGCCGCACCGTGAGCCCCACAGACATGCAGGGCCCCACAGCCCGGGTAGCAGGCACCGTCTGCTCTGAACCGAGGTTCTCCAAGTAGCTCGTGCAGCTCTGAAGCAGCAGCAGGAGCCTGTGGGCAGAGATGGCAGGGTCAGCTAGGGTAGAGCCTGATGCCAGCATGCCTGTGCACCCCACAACTAGCAGCCTCTGGCTCTGGGGACCTCGAGGGCCTTAGAATGTGCTCTGTTGGACCAGCTTCAAACCCAATCCAAGGGGCCACTTCCTCCAGGAAGCCCTCCCTAAGGGCTGAACTTGGGGGCCTTTTCTGGGCCTCCTGGCTATCAGCACTTCAGCCTGGCTGTTCCCCACCACACAGGGATGCTCTGGCAGACTGGGTCTCGCTTCAGTTGTATTGCGCGTGCTCCGAGAGTGCTGGGTGGGTGGCTGCCTTACGTCATGTGGCTCAGAGCCTTCGCCTTACAGAGGACAGAGCTGAGACCCTGTGAGTGGAAGGGCCTGGCAAGCACACAGGCCAGGGGCACCCTGCAGCCTCCGGATTCTAGTCAGGGTCTTCTCCTGCAGCGCAAGGTGCTTCTGTGACATCGGGGACATGAAGATAGCTAGGGGTCTAGCCCAACTTCAGCGCTTAAAATTAGAGTCAGGCTGCTCTAAGGAAGACAAGCATTAGAAGGACAAGTTTGGATTTTGCAGGGGAACCAAGCTACTTTAAAGGAAGAGGTCTTGTATTTACAGAACATACTGGGCAGGTAAGTGACCTTGCCCTGTTTTGGGTGCAGAGGGGTCATCCTAAACCCACGGGGGGTCTTGGGCAGGCAAAACCTTGCAGGAGGAGACACCAACTGCCTCCAGGCCCTGCCCCTCTCTGAGCTGTCTTCCTCTGTGAATGGGGACAACTGTGCCTGCCACAGTGCTGGGCAGCACTGGGGGTGGGGTGGGGTGGGAAAATGCCTGGGAAGAAGTCAGAGCATGGCCTTGACAGAGGGGTGGGGAAAACATGTCAGCAACAGCTTTATAGGGGCATGGCGAGACTGGGCCTTGATGGATGAGTGGGGCTTGGCCAGACCAGGAAGGGGTGTGCAGGGGGTTCCTAGCAGATGGCATAGCATAACATAGGTAAAAGCAAGGGAGGAGGAAGGTATATTTGGGGCACCTGATTGGCTCAGTTGCTTGGGCGTCTGCCTTTGGCTCAGGTCATGATTCTAGGGGTCCTGGGATAGAGCCCCCCCACCACTGTGTCTGGCTTCCTGCTCAGGGGGGAGCCTGCCTCTCCCTCTCCTCAGGTCCTCCCTACCCCTCCCCTGTTCATGTGCGCTCGCTCAAATAAATAAATAAAATCTTAAAAAAAAAAAAAAGAAGGAAGTGTGTTCTGTGCTTATATATGTTTAGCCTCTCACGGGTTCCAAAAATACTTTCATCCTGAGGGTGCCTCCAGGACTCTAAGTGGTAACCCTAGCTTCTTTGTTCCCAGGCAAGTCATCCCCAAACTATTCTTGCCTATCAGGCCTCCATGACTTCAGTCCATGTATGCTTTTGGTCACAGGGAGCCAGGTGGTGGTCCCCAGGAAGTGGAAGGCTGATGGCCATGTTAAGTTTAACGAGAGTGTTGAAGTGGAGGGGCTACGGGGCAATCTTCCTAACAGGGCCAGCATCTGGAAAAACACATCCTGTGTCTGACCTTGTGACCCACACTGATAATGGCATAGCTCTCAAGAAACCAGGACAAAGGGCCTGGGATGGAAACTCTGAGCAGCAGCTGTGGTGTCCCCGATGCATAGAAGCCATAAGGAGGTGGCCGATGGAAGCTGGAGAGGTGGCCCTCGGAGCTGCACAGCTGCAGGGAGCAAGAGGGGGGCCCACAGCTCCCCAAAGGTGGACAGGATGGGAAAGCACAGCACATGACAGAAGCTGTGAGGGCCTTGAGCTGGCCAGCCTCCTGACAGGCGCTCAGTTAAAGGTGATTATTGTTATTGACGTGATCCCTGCTGGTGGTGGAGGGGGCAGGGGGTGGCGGAGGGGGCGGATCCTGAGGCTGGTTTACTGGTTTAAGGGGCAGATGCCAGCACCCCGAGATCACCAGGCTTGGTCAAGGCCCTCACCTGTCGATGACCAGTTCCAGCAGAACAGCATGGGACAGCTGCGTGAACTCGGGGTCACCCGGCACGTGGTCATAATGCTCTAACAGGGCCACCATGTCCAGGTCGCAGGCCACACGATCAGGAAACTTCCAGGAGGGGAAGTGCACGGGTCCAGCACGAGAGAACACGTCCACGATGGCGCCCTGCAGGTCGGTAAGGTCCTTACGCAGACTGTCCATGCAGGACTGGCTGCCCAGCAGGTGGGCCATCCTCGTGGCTCCTGGGGTGAGCAGAGAGGATCCCCGTTAGCCAGAGCCATGTGATTGTTGCTGGAGGAAACTTCCAAAAATCCTGCTCTGCCCAGTGGGTCCGAGGCCAAAAGCCCTACCTAGAGCCTGGGGAAAGTCTTTTCCAGGCCCAGGCCATGGGCCCTTTAATACCTGGGTAGTAAAGAGACCTCCCTAGAATCCCACTTGTCCACCCTGCCCCACGTCCACGCTGCCAAGTCCCAGCTCCATAAGTCCGTCCGAGGCCCTGTGTATGCCAGATCCCTGCTAAAGGCTGGGCAGACAGAGCTATGAATAAGTAGCCACAGTCCTTCTCTCCCTGAGCGAACGAATAGGCAACTGACAACTAAGAGAGAGTTGTAGCTACAGCATGACAGGAAGTGCTGGATCCTACCCAGCCACCGTCATCTCCCACCTGGACCACCACAGCTGTCTCTGGCAGGGCCACAGGGGTGCCCCCTCCAATGACACACTTCAGCTCTAGAGATCTGGGCCAAACCTGATCAGATCGGGTCACACTGGTCAACACCCCCTCAGGACTCCTAAGGGAGAAAGGCCACCTCTGGCCACAGTTCTCCCCACAGCCCTCTCTGGTCCCCGCACCACCACCCCATACTCTGTATTTCAGCCCCAGTCAGTTCCACCAGCAGCTCAGGTGTAGGTACTCATTTCTGAACCTGGGCCCGTCTGTGCACTCTGTCTGAATCATGCTTTCCCCATCCAATTCCCATCATCAGCCTAATTCCCCCCATCCTTTGGGCTTCCTGGATATCACCTCCTCCAAGAAGCCTTCCCTGAGCACTCTCCAGGTTGGGCAAGATCATCTCTCTGGGCTTCCCCCATCTGGACTCTGATCCCTCTCTGCTGGAATGGCCTCCATGCTCCAGGCCAGGTCCTCAGGTCACTTTAGCCAAGGTGGTGTCCCCAGTATGACCAGCCTACGGCCTAGCCCATGGTAGACACTCATTGGCAAGTGAATGCTGAGTCATTGAGCAGGGAAATGAAAAGAACCCACAAAGAAAAATTTAAATACATTAACTTTGTCTTAAGGTGTAAGGGAGGAAAACCTGAAAATCTGTCACTCTGGTGACAGGGGGCCTATTATATGTGAATGCAGAGAGTTCCAGTCCTGCCCTTTCCTGGCTGTGTGGCCTCAGGCAAGTCACTGTACCCCTATGAACCCTAGCTGCCTCAGCTGTAAGATGGGGACACCATCCCCAAACAGGCTGAGCGGTTGTGAGGTCATTAACAGTATCCACGAGTAAAGTGCTTGGTGCATGGCAAGACATGAGTAACAGTGCTCGAGCAATAGTGACCATTAGTCTGGTGATTACTGTTATTAGCAGTAACAACAGCAAACACCATCCTTGTCTGCAGCCACTGCCTGCCCTCTGTATGTCCCCTCTTCCCCTTGCAGCCCACACGGAGCGCTTCTCATCCATCTCTGGAGTCCGTGGACCTCTGAAGCCAGTGATTTGGATGAATGGCCCCTGGACCTTGACTCAGAAGGTGGAAAAGCATGACTGTCCTGACCCCTCCAGTGGCTCATCACAGGCCTTGCCAGTGTGATCCTCTTCTCTCTGTTCAGAGCTGGGCTGCCCTGGTCTCTCCCCACCCTACAGCAGGGTCTCTTGTTCTCTGTGGCTTTCTCAGCTGCAGAAAGTGCTTCCTTGTACCACAGCTCCTCCCTGCAGTGCGGGGGCTGCCTGGGCACTATTTAGGCCATGGTTGATCTCCCTGAGCCTCAGCAAGTCCAGGCCTGGTGGAGGAATCTCTCTTCCTCCGACCTACTTCCAGCCCAACCTCACTCAGCTCAGAAAAGGGCGCCCCCACTATGTGCAACTGGGCACTTCCTCGGATTCCCTTCTCTACCCCCTATCCAAGCACCTAGGGCTGCCGGTCCCGTGTCCAGACCACACTGAGAACCTACCACTGTGTTCGTCGTGCTGTTCCATGCTCCCTCTTCTCCCCAGACCACTGCCACAGCCTCCCGGAGGGGCCACACTCATCCCCCTGTCCAGCACCACCTCATCCGTCTGTATATGGTCAGAGTGATCATTTAAAAGGCAACTCATCCCCCTGCTTTGAGCCCTTGAATGGCTTTTCATAGTATAAACACTGGAATACTTCCCTGGGCTCTGGCCCTGTGTGGTCTGTTCCCACCCCAGCATGTTATCACCCAGAGCGTGCCTTTTCCTCCCCACACTTCTTTCAGACAACACAGCTCACGCAGGCCCCCAGGCCAGGTGAGTTCACCTGTCACTCCTCTGAGCATTCTGTTCTTTTCCCTCCCAGCATACGCCACACTGGCACTGATTATTATTTGAGTAATTATTTGCAGTTGGCAATCTGTCTCCCTGCAAGCACATGGACTGTCTTTCGCTATGGTATGATCTGGCCATCTGGGCGAAAGGACTTAAGGGCCAGCTGCTGCCCATAGGTCCTGGGACACTCAAAGGCACCAAGGGGTGATTCCTGAAGACTGAGCCAGCCTCTCAGGCCTCCCAGAGGACTGGGCCCTGTCCTCACCTCTGCAAAGGTACCTGCCTGTGAGGCTGGATGTCTGGCCTGTGGGCTCTGGGACTCAGGTCAGAGGCTCACCCAGATGCCTGGTTTCCTGTCTCCAGTGCAGGGCTGGCTGGGAGTCGCTCTTCAGTCCCTGAGAAGGGATGAAAGCAAGAGTGAGTGAGTGTGCTCTTCAGGGAAGTTTCCTGGCCGGGCAGGGAGGAGGCTGTCCCAGAAGGAGAGGGCTGGAGGGCTGGAGTGAGGGAAAGCTCATGTGGGCTCACCTGTTTTGAGCCTGAGCACAGAGGCTGTGCTTTAATAGTGCTAAGCTCTGACCACAGGACCTACTGTGTGCTACTTCCTGAATCTGCCTCCTTTATACAGACGAGGAACTTGAGGCTCTGGAAATTAGGGGATGAAGCCAAGGTCACTCAGGGAGCTAGGGTTCTTGAGTCCAACATCTCTGCTCTGTCTTCAAGCCATGATGCTTCTAGGGCAGCACTGTCCTAAAGGAATATGCTAGCTGCACATGGGATTTTAAATTTTCTACTAGCCAAAAAATAAAGTAAAAAGAAACAGGTAAATTTATTTTAATTAAATATTTTATTTAACCTAATTAACTCCAAATACTATCACTTCAACATGACATCAACGTAACACCATTAAGATTATTTTACAGTCTTTTCTACATTCAGTCTCGAAATCCAGTGTCTCTTTGACACCTGCAGCACATCTCAGTTTGGACCAGTCACCATTTTCAAATTCACCACCACATGGATGGCTGGCCACCGTACTGAACAGTGGAGGTGTAGAGGGTCAGATCCTGTGTGTTCAGTAAGCAAATGGTGACTGCGTGCCTTTGGCATCTTGGGCACTACGTCAAGAATAGGGACAGAGAAGGACCTGTGGAGCCTTGTCCCTAGGAGCCACCGTTTCCCTCTGAGGATCTCTATTGGGGATAAAGGTCCACCCCGGGGGCAATGAGTCTCCACCCTACAACACTCACAAACACACCCAGGCCCACATCCCCACACACATACGCTGCGCAGCGATGGACTCTCACGAGATATTGCCACCCGTGAGATTTTATATACCCAAGGAATGAGGCAGAAACCAAGAATAACAGACTGAAACATTTTGGTTTTCCTTCCCGGAATGGGAGGGAGGAATGCAAGCAAGCAAGCAAGCAAGCAAGCAGTGCTGTCCTGGAAGGAGGAGTATTCAGGTGGCAAAGCACCTAGGACTTGGGAGCTTATCTGTGAAGACACTGAGAAACACTGGCCTGTTCACCCTCAGATAATTACAGCTGCCATCTGGGGCCCTCTGAGATCCAACTCCTGTTAGATTCTGGTTCTGAGAAGCAGCCACAAATGCCAAAGCATCAGCAATATGGAAGAGGAAAACACAACTTTGAAAAATATCCAAGGTTACCTTATGTCATTTCTTCTGAATATTGGGATTTCCCATTATAAACATGGCTTTGAGAACCACTTTGGTGTGTGGCAAGTGAAGGAGCACGTGACGTAGGCTTTCTCTGTAATTCCTGGATCTTGAGTGGAACCGTGAGCCTGAGGCTGCCAGCCCTGCCCTGACTATTCCTGAGGTCATATGGGTGATGGCACTAATTGGGCCAACACCACCCTGAGGAAGGAACAGCAGCTAACTCTGCCGTCTCCCCAGTTCCCTCATGCTCAAGGTGGACTTTTTGACTTGCAGAGAAGGTCAGGAGTCTTTCCTCCACTCCCAATCAACATGCAAGCCCCTTCTTTCTCTAAGTGCTAGGACTCTACCCCTCTGGTAAAGATTATGCCTACCTCCTGGTCAGTGCCCCTGCTCAGATTCAAGGTCACCACCAGGAAAACACTTTGAAATTCTGAAAACATCTATATATCCCAGTTGTCAGCCTCTGACTCAGGACTGCTAATGCCTGGATCCCTGGGGGACAATGAAGGGACCGAGTGAAGACAAAGGAATAGCTGCACTAGTAGAGGAGTAAGAATGGCCTGGGTTTGGATTCTCACGCCACCAACTCTGAACTTCACTGTCCTCGTCTGTAAATAAATTGCTCTAAGAAATTAGTGATGTGGGGAAGCCTGGATGGATTAGTCGGTTAAGCTCAAGTCATGATCCCAGGATCCTGGGATGGAGTCCCCAGTCCTGGGATGGAGGTCCTGGGATGGAGTCCAGGGTCCTTGCTTAGTGGGGAGCCTGCTTTTCCCTCCACCTGCCACTCCCCCTGCTTATACTCTTACACACTCTCTCTCTCTATCTGACAAATTAATAAAGAAAAACTTAAAAAAGAAATTAGTGATGTAATGCATATAGTGTTTGGCAGAAGATCTGGCCACTGTAAATGTTCAATAAATCCTAGCTATCATCATTCTACGTTATTACAACGACATAAACCAGTTATGGTGTGTGTGTGTGTGTGTGTGTGTGTGTGTGTATGTAAAGAGGGATGGGGTAAGACCCTTGGGAGGGCATCTCTTCCTATCCCGCCTCCATTTCACAGGTGAAGAAACAAACTATCCAGGCATGGGCTAAAAACCGGCCTGCAGTCCGGCGCTGGGATGGAGCGGAGACGGAACAAGGAGGACAGGATCTCAGGAGAGGAAATGGGAAGGGCGGGATTCGAGGTGAGCTCGGGGAAGCTAGGGAAGTGGTCAGCAAGAACCCATCTTTGGGAGTGAGGGATGGAGCTTAAAGAAGTCTTGATTCGAGACGGTCCGCGGGGTTGAGGGCGGGGCTATGGAAGGCAGAGGGTGGACCCTAGAAAAGGCAGTCCTAAGGGAAAAGGGACCAGTGAGAATTAGGCCTTGGGACTTGGCTTGGAAAGGGGGTTCAGAAGATGTAGGCGTGAAGCGAAAGAAGAGGAGGTTAAGGGAGGAGGGAAGCGGGACTTTGAGGAAGCAGGCTGGAAGGGAAGGGGCTCTCCAAGATGACAGGTCAATAGGAAGGAGAGAGGAACCCACCTTTGGAGTAAAGAAGGGGGCCAGGGCCGTGGGGTGTGTGCGGAGAGCGTCCGGCCAGTGGTATAGAACGTCTCCCCAGTCTCCTGCGTCGCAGCCTCAGCCCTTGCCGTCTGGTCGGCTCTTGGAACTGCCCGCGGCGCCCCAGCGCCTCAGGGCATCCCCCACAAATCCTAGCCGGGTGCCTCGAGCGCTGCCATGGCAACGGCTACTCGCGCAGAAGGCTCCAGGGAGGGGGAAGGAAGTTGCATCACGAAGAAGGGCCGGTCCCGGAAGTGCGTCACCTCCCCTCCTCCGCGACGATTCTGTCGGCCGCCGCCATCTTGGGAGCTTGTCTTGTCGTCCGTGCGGGGAGCTGCTTTGACGCAGCACCGCTCACCTTCAGCGAGGCGGACTGGCAGCCCTGAGCGTCGCAGTCATGCCGGCCGGACCCGTGCAGGCGGTGCCCCCGCCACCGCCCGCGGCCACCGAGCCCAAACAGGTACCGCGACCCCCGCACCTCGACCGGCAGCCCGATCCTTGGCCTGGGCCCTCCCCTCCGGTGCGGGCGCTCTTCACTTGTGCAGAGGAGGAAGCGGCCGCTTACTAGGGCTTGGAGGGACTACAAGTCCCAGGAGGCAGCGCGCTTCCCGCTCTGCGCTGCCTTCTGGTAGCAAAAGAAGCGCTCTTGGAACAGTGGTTCTCAAAGTGTGGTCCGCAGACCAACAGCATCAGCATCACCTGGGAGTTAATTAGAAATGCCAGACCTAAATACTAATGCATTTTAACAAGATCTCAAGGTGATTGATTAAAGTTTGAGAAGCACTGATCCAGCCCATCCATAGGTTTTCTGTGGTTATTGGGCCCACCGTCGCCGTCCCGCACCGCCGCCTGCCCAGCCCGCCGGTTTTCCCCCAGTAATCCCTAGTTTCCCAGCCTGTACGGAACGTTTTTGTTAATTCCCAGCATCTGCTCTAAGCTAAACACCGTGCAAGGCTGGTGTTTAGAATGAATGAAGCATACCTAGTTTAGGGAGGTCACAGTTCTAAGTGGGGAGCCATATAAGTGAACATTCTACAAGTGGTTGTTGTTTCGAGCACCATAAATGATACCAGCCAGCACTTAAATCAGCTGAGGGGGAAAGAGGTGTGTAAATAATTGCAGTATGTTGTGATAGGCCCTATAAGGATCAGGTACAAAAGAAACTAGTCAACATTTCTTTGATGGTGTGAAGGGGAAATTAAAAGTAGGTGAAACCCACATGAGTAATAGGTGAATTGCTTTTAAAAGGATGAATTCGTAGTTTGCCAGACAGGTGATTGGAAAGGTTAACAGCATCCTATATTCATTAAGCAAACGTCCTATATTCATTAAGCAAACGTTTATTGAGCGCATATTCTATGGTGACCACTGCTTTGGGTTCGGAATACAGCAGAGTACATGACAGAAGAGGTCCATTTTTAATTAATTAATTAATTTATTTGACAGAGAGAGATCACAAGTAGGCAGAGAGACAGGCAGAGAGAGAGAGGGAAGCAGGCTCCCTGCTGAGCAGAGAGCCCGATGTGGGGCTTGATCCCAGGACCCTGAGATCATGACCTGAGCCGAAGGCAGACGCTTAACCCACTGAGCCACCCAGGTGCCCCAGAAGAGGTCCATTTTAAGTACATCTGTATCCTTGGCATTTTCCCAGTCACTTGGGGGAAAGTGAGGTAATACCAGATAATTACAAAGACACCAGGGTAGGGATCACTTGGTGTTTCTGGTGGAGAGTAAATTAAAAAGTGTTGTTGAAGTTTAGGATTGGGAGAGTGGTGGCAAAAGATGCATTTTGGGGGCGGTTGAACTTTTCCTAGTACACAGTGGGGAGAAAGGGAAGAGTTTGAAGCTGGATAACTGACATCTGTGTTTCAGAAATTCAGGTAGGCAGGTAGTGATGGGAATATAGAGGAGCACAGTTACTCAAAAGATGCTGAGCGCCTGCCCTAGATGTGTTGGGGGCAGGGGTGGGACAGACTGGATGGACAAACGCAAGTCACGCAATGACTGGTGGTGCAGGCTCTTCAGCTCAAGTGATGCGTTGGATTCCTGGTTCTGCCATTTGGGCTAGTTAAGCTTTACGTTCCTTGGTTTTGTCATCTGTAAAATGAGGGTAATGAGTATTCACATCATGGGCCTCTCATAAGGGCTGTGCAGGTAATATATTTAAAGTTTTTAGAAAGGTATATGGAACCTGCTGTGTGCTTGATAACTGTTACCATTGGATATGGAGGCCGAGGAAGGGAGAAGAGGGCCATGTTTCTGACTTGGATGATTGAGTGCATGGTTGGCCATTGATGAGGAAAGCGGTTTGAGAGAAAAGTGCCCCGGAGCCAGCTCAATCTAGAATTCTGTGACACATAACAGTGATCTGAGGCATCAGTTTGGGTGGGATTGTTCAGTCTCGAGGTGGTAGGGGAAGTAAAGGCCATACTTGTGAGTGCCTGAGTACAGTGTGAATACTGTGGAGAATAGAAGTTTTGGGAACCCTAACATAGGGTGGGGGAAACTCGCTCAGTGGGGAGTGGTGAGCAGAAAGGAAAGACACAGGATACTGGGGCATGGGCGTTGAGTGGAGAGTTTTGTGAAGGAATGGTCACTGGTCACATGACCAGATGCTGGCTATAGTTGGCTCTAGGCAGTCATGTTTGACTTTTGGAAGGGCACTTGAAATGGATGGGGACCAAATGGGAGGTGGGGAAGTGGGAATGGCAAGACTGCGAAAACTCAGGATATTTAGCTGTCAGAGGAAGAGGGGGAGAGTGTAACAGTAGAAAAGAATATGAAGTCAGGGAACTGCTATCTTTTTTTTCAGATGAGAGACTGACCCTTTGTTTACTAACGGAAAGAAGCTGGTGAAGAAAGAATATTGGAATTTATGGGACAGTTGATGTTGTGCATTCCAGTGGGGTTTCACAGAACATTTGAGCATATTCTAATAGGTGCAGAGGGAAAGGGCATAAGGCGCTGCCAGCAGAGTTTCCCATCTTTATTCAGTAGTCATTAAATATTCCATGCCAGGAACATCCCTGGGTACAGACATGGCCTTCTGGATTCTGGAAGATGGTTTCTTAGAATGCCATCAGATCCTCTCCCCTGAATCTGAATCATCTGGCCACTTGGTAAAAATCCAGGTTCCTGGTGTCACAGACTGGCTAGCTGGTGAGAGTCAAGGAGGCTACTCTTTCCACCGGTTCCCCAGGAGAGTCCCATGCATGCATAGTGCAGTTAAGAGCTGGTTTTCTGGAGCAGAAGGTCCTAACTCGAGGAAAGTCCCTGGGAGAGAGTCCATGTTCTCAATGATTTTAGAGGAGTTTGACTTCAGTCCCCCATATCAGGAGCCTCAAGACGTTATTCTCCTTTTCTTGTTTTCACAGCCCACAGAAGAAGAAGCTTCTTCGAAGGAGGATTCTACCCCCTCCAAGCCAGTGGTGGGAATTATTTATCCTCCTCCAGAAGTCAGGAATATCGTTGACAAGACTGCCAGCTTTGTGGCCAGGTAACATAGCTGCTTCTGCATTGTCAGCCTGGGCCCGTTAGCTCATCTAACACCACAGCATGCTGGTGAGGTGGGCCATGGTCAGGATTAGTGTCTCGGCATGGAATGGCAGTGGCAGAATGTGAATCACACCCAGCCCCAGAAGCACCAGGAACCTGTGCTTCCAAAATAGGCCTGAGGAAGTGCCTGGAAAGCTGTTTTGTCAGGGAGAATATTTGTGTCTGTGTCTATGTCTGAGCTGCTGGCCGGAGGAAGACATAAAAAGGGAGTTGGTCATTCTCATTTTGTAAGAACTGTGCTCCTCACACCGTCCACTGACGCCTCTGCAGGATGGAATAAAATACGAGCTCAGAGTTCTTGTGAGGCAGGAGAGAGGGAATGGGACTGAGTGCTGTCTTCGTGGATGACTTGGAAGTCTGCGAGTTCCTCTCATCCTTTCCCGTCATGTTTTACACACACCTACTCCTCAGATGGAATCCTCTTGATGGCTGCTTGACTCCAAAGGTCAACACAACCCCCCTAGTTAAAGTGTTTTTTTGGCAGCCAGCAGGCCACATGCAGCCTATAGTGCTGTTGTTTTTCCTCATGATATATATTTTCTTAAAGATTTATTTATTAGAGAGGAAGGGAGGGAGAGGGTAGGGCAGAGGGAGAGAATTTTCAAGCAGACTCCCACTCAGTAGAGAGCCTGACACAGGGCTTGATCCCATGACCCATGAGATCATGACCTGAGCCGAAACCAAGGGTCAAACACTCCACCAACTGAAACACCCAGTGCACCGTCACAATATGTATTTTTTAAAAACTTGAATAAGTTGCCACCATTTAAAAATGAGCTTGCACAGTAAATCTGGATTTCTGGCTTTTGTCAATAAACTAGACAACTCATTGATGTAAGCAGCTGCCCGCCTTGAACAGACCGCTGCCCTCAGTCAAGACACATGTGCTCCAGAGGGCCATGCCTTGATCCCAAGGCAGTATCCCTATCACAGTACATTTTACTAGAGGGTTCCTTCCTTCCCAACCTCTTAATAAAGTGAAACATAGAGGTTACTCTGAGGCCTTTTACTTGTCAGGCTCCATGCGGATTCATAGCCTCACATTTCAAAGGCTTTGCTTAACCAGGGTATTGCATTAAATCTGCTCTGTGCTTGGGGGAGCAATGTTAGCTTCAGGGCAGTAAGTGTTGTGTTTATGATAAATGTTCAGTGTCTCATAGCAACGCTCATGCTTCCCTTTTTGCCCTGGTAATTTTAAAAACAGAATAAATAGGAAAAGGGTGTTAGAGGAAGAATCACCACAGTCTCATTACCAGAATAGTTTCTACCAGCTGTTTTCACTTTCCTGTTTCCTTCTGGTCCTTGACGTCCTTTTTTAGACCTTTGTAATACTAGTAGATACTTTCACATCCTGCTTTTCCCCTTTGTGCTCAGAAGCATTTTCTCCTGTTGCTCCATCGTCCTCTGCTGCTGCGCCGTCCTCAACGCACCATGTTGAGGTGACGGGCCTCCCTTGACTTGGCTGTCTCCTCTCTCCTTTCCTCCAAGTTGTTTCCAGCATTTCAGTTTGGCACACAAAACTGTGGGGGAAATCTGAGCATTTTCTTTCCCTTCTAGATTGTCATCTTAGAAGAAAATTCTATGTGGCACATAACTGGCTGAAAGAGCATTTTTAAAGATTTTCTTAAACATTTTGCCAAGTAGCT